CCATACTTCTTCTTCTTCTTTTTTTTTTTTAAAGATGACCGGTAAAGGGATCCTAACCCTTGACTTGGGGTTGTCAGCACCACGCTCACCCAGTGAGCTAACCGGCCATCCCTATATGGGATCCGAACCCATGGCCTTGGTGTTATCAGCACCGCACTCTCCCGAGTGAGCCACGGGCCGGCCCACAAACTCCATACTTCTGATGGAGGTGGTCATCTTACCGCATTTTGAGATACACGGATCTAAAGAATGCCAACCACACAATACAAAGTAGGTTACTTAAATAAATTGATGTTAATTACATCCAGATACCTTATTAAATATCTTACTTGAGAATTTCAAATTTTAATCTTGGCATAAACCACAAATATTTCAAATACATAACCATCTCTAGAACAGTATTTCTCAAAAGTCCTGACACTCCAGAGCTAAGATTAAATTCATGTTCCCCATTTTAGTAGAAATCTAAAATCCCCTTTAGCAAACTACAACTCTTCAAATCTCTGCTCCTTTACATGTCCATTCATTACCTTCAAGCACCTTTTCTCCCCATCGTTAATCCAATCCTAACCACCAGTCAACTGCTTTTACCTTAATGCATAATTCTTTAATGCTGCTTATTTCCAGCCTGAGATATTAGGCTTTCTCGACCTGCATCTGTTTCTTCAGGACCAGGACATTCAAACACTCCCTTTACACTAGTCACTACTGTTTGAAACTCTGTGTACAAACACAGACCTGTAGTCTTGTATCTTTTTTTTTTTAATTAAAAAAAAATTTTTTTAGTCCTGTATCCTTTTAATGTCCTGCAGCATCCATAAAGCAAACCAGAGGATTTTCTTTAAACATAGTTTTCTTTTTGTAAAAAAAAGATGACTGGTAAGGGAATCTTAACCCTTGGCTTGGTGTTGTCAGCACCATGCTCAACCAGTGAGCCAACCGGCCATCCCTATGTGGGATCCGAACCCGTGGCCTTGGTGTTATCAGCACCGCACTCTCCCGAGTGAGCCACGGGCTGGCCCTAAGCATTGTTTTGAGTGCACTGTTTAAAAAAATTTTAAATGATGTAATGGGCACTAGGCTTTCGAATCGAATGGGTTCAAATTATGATACTGCCATTTTCTGTGTGACCTTGAGCAACTTAACCTTTTTAAAGTCTTTTCGACAGTGAAATAATGATATCAACTACCTTCACAGGCTTGTGATGATCAGATTATATAATATGTAGAGGCTTAGAATTGTTATTGGCACACAGCAGGAAGGCCAATTCTTAAGAGTGTTCCCTGCCTGCCATTTTACCTGCAAAGCACCAATAGCTGCGCTCTGGAAGCGCAGATCTGTTTTGAAGTCCTGAGCAATTTCTCGCACCAGACGCTGGAAGGGGAGTTTGCGAATCAGAAGTTCAGTGGACTTCTGATAACGTCTAATTTCACGGAGTGCCACAGTACCAGGCCTGTAAAATAAAACAAAAAGATAAGTGCTCAGCTTTAAAGAAATGCAGTAATTTTTCAAAAAATAAACCATCTAACTGTTCTTCAGCCTCAGTAGCAAATTTTACTGATCATTTTATGACATGAACATTCAAGTAATATTATGAGTAACAACAATACCTCGAGGGTAAAAAGCATGGAATTAAAGTAGATTCCTGGCAGGGAGTTTATCAAAGCCCTATTTATTTTCATTTTTTAACTTGTACATAATATACATATATAAAAATCATCAACGTCTGTGTGAATTACATAGTGGAAAATTATTAGTTGGGCTGCTAATGAAGAAAATTGTTTAGACTCTTCTCAATTTAGTACCACTCTCCTTCCCATCTGCACCTCAATTATTTTAAAAGCCCATAAGACCTACCAACAAACCCAATAAGCTTCATTTAAAAATACAATTGTGTAGGGCTTGCTGGTTAGCTCAGTTGGTTAGAGCATGGCGTTGATAACACCAAAGCCCAGGGTTCAAGTCCTGTACCAGCCAGCTGCCAAAAATAAAAATACAATTGTGATATATAAGTTCGATGTCCCAGAATATCTTTACTCTTTGACTACTGCTGCTCATTCCTCAGGTATGATTAAATTCGAACACTTTTTGAGGACGGCTGGGCTGGTACAGGGATCCAAACCCTTGACCTTGGTGTTATTAACATAATGCTCCAACCAAGTGAGCTAACTGGTCAGACCTAAATTTGAATAATCTTGATTGTGCAATGTTCCTTCCACATGGAAGAGGTTTTTTCCCTAATTGTCAGCAAAAAAATTACCTCTAATTCTGACTTATTTCTTCCACTGTATGAGCTTTTATTTTAGGTTAACTGCAAAAATTGGCAGAGGCTACCTAAGAATGGACAACTTCTGCCCTCTAATGGCAGACGTCCTTAACAACACTGCTCAGGTAGTTGAGACAAGCTAATAGATAAGAAAATAAACCAATAAAGTAAATGAGGGATGGGGACTTCACTAAAAACTCCCTCTATATTGATTAAATAAATTATTTTACCAAAAGCAAGGAAGATATCCCCCAAAATGTATTTTAAAAACATTTTATTATTTAAGAAAGTTACTAACTTAATAGCTAACTAAAATGTTAATTTATCCCATTAACATTATTAGTGATGTATTATGTCTCCTTAGGCCTCCAGGTCAGATTCTGGCCTCAAAACTAAACGTGTTTCCAAATAAAACCCAACATTAAATTTTATATGTATAAATGAATATCTATATTCAAGCAGTAGTAAATATTCAAAAGGAGAAAAATCAGTTTCCCTAAAGCAAAAAGGTTGCCTGTTATCCATCTTTTTTTGGTTAGATCGTAGGTGTACTACAGGAGAGACTTCGTCCCATTTCTTTTAATACCTGTAACGATGAGGTTTCTTCACCCCTCCAGTAGAGGGCGCACTCTTGCGAGCGGCTTTTGTAGCCAGTTGTTTCCTGGGTGCTTTACCACCGGTCGATTTGCGGGCAGTCTGCTTTGTACGAGCCATGGTATAGAGACCTCCTTACTTACCTACCAGCATCAGAAGAAGAAAAAAAAAAAAAAAAATCACCACATGCAACTACTAAACATACAAATTTTCCTGCTACTATCACCCCCCCCCCCCCACAACCCGGAAATTATGATCAGAAATAAAAAAAAAAAAAAAAAAAAAAAAAAAAAAAATCCGTAATGTTATATAATTTGAAAGGGTGCAGATTACGTCTACCACTCGAATGACTTCTTCAAACAAACTGTAGTACTAGAAAATTGTTCGCACGAATACCAATCACCTCTCAAAATACCAATTCTGAGCGAGAAACGGCAAAACAAAAAGACCCCTAACGGCCTTTGATCCAATTTAACTAAAAATTAGAAATGTCCGTAAACATTCGATCCACAAACAAGTCAAAAGAACGAAGCCACAAGCCACAGAAAGGCCGAGTCAAATTACAGCAAAAAAGGTTTTAGGCCCCCCCGCGCCCGGCAGTTGACGGATTGCTGTAAATATCTGCAAACATTCTTGGGTTTGCATCCTTAAGGTGATGTTGACAAAAAGGCGTTTCGATAACCGAGAGAGGAACAACAGCTCCCACCAGCCAGCGTTCTACAAAGCACCGTCCTCGCGTCCGGTCCCCGCAGGCTTCGCGATCACAGAAAAAGTGCCCCGCGCCCAGGCTTTAATTAACGCCCGACACCGGCCGACCGGTCCACGCCAACCACCACCCAAACTTTTGGTTTCGCCTCCTCCGGCCCCGGGCCCCCCGGCCTCGCTCCCAGCGCCTCGCGCAGGCACCAACTCGGCTCTCAGACCAGAACAAAATGGAAACAATCGCGGAACGGATCCGATTCCCTCCCAGAGACAAAACACCAAATCGCTCGAAAATACCCCCATCTCCTGCCACGTGCCGCCCTCCAAAATGCAAAAGTTTTTTTTTTTTTTTTTGCATTTCAAATGCATCAAGTTTCCGCTTCTCCAAAAAAGGGAAAAAAATGTCCCTCCTTAAACGTTTTTTTTTTTTCCTTCTTTTTCGAAATGGGGAAGAGAGAACCGGGGAAAGAATATGGTCGTTGACCAGAGAAGAGAGACAAGATGGTGAAGCTGAGCAACAACTGTCGGGCGGCAGCAAAAAGCGAGTTACCCCAGGGTGGGAAGCGGCGGCAATTTCCAGCCCTTTCCCGCCCGAAAACCGGGCGCCGGGACCCGGGGGCGGCAGTTAAGAGGCCCGCGCGGCTCGTGGTGAGGGTCTGGGGTCCGGGGAAGGGGCGGCGGGCGGGATTTCACCGAAGAAAGGGGAGCCCGGGGCGCGGGGAGGAGGCGGGAGAGCGGGCTCGGCGCCGCGGCGGTTGCTGCTGTTGGGCTGAGGCGGCGAGACGGAGGAGCCGCCGCCGCCGCCTGAGGAGAGACGGAAACTCGCGCCTCACCTCCATTTCTGGGCCAAAAAGTTTGTGGGCTAAGCCGGAGGGGCCGGGGATCCCCTCCCGCCGCCGCCAGGGCCCGGCTCGGGGCTGACGGTCAGCGGGGACCGGGTGCCGGGGACGCGGGCAGACGGGCAAACTTACCCCCCTTCTCCTCGGGCTGGAGCTCGGCGAGCGAGAGGCGGCGCTGGCGTTGGAGAGAGCGACGGCGGCGCGGCGGCGGCTGCGAACACAATTGAAAGATGGCTGACACAGAGGCTAGCCCCCAACGCACGCCGCCCCGCCCCCCGCGCCGCGCGCCAGCCAATCACACACAATGGAGGGAAGGCTCGGCCCCGCCCCCCCGAGCCCCCG